GGCAGCGTTTCGTGGCCCCATACGGAGCTCCACCGAAGGCCCCAGTGGCGCAGTTCGCATGCGCTTCCCGTACCCACGGCAGCGTTGCGTGGCCCCATAGGGAGCTCAACCGAAGGCCCCAGTGGCGCAGTTCGCATGCGGTTCCCCCCTGCCCAGGGCAGCGCTTCGTGGCACCATAGGGAGCTCTACCGAAGGCCCCAGTGGCGCAGTTCGCATGCGGTTACCCCACCCAGGTCAGCGCTTCGTAGCCCCATATAGGGAGCTCCACCGAAAGGCCCCAATGGCTGCTCTCGCATGCGGTTCACCCACCCAGGGCAACGCTTCATGGCCCCATAGGGAACTCCACCGAAGGCCCAGTGGCTGCTTTCGCATGCGGTTCCCCCACCCAGGGCAACGTTTCGTGGCCCCATACGGAGCTCCACCGAAGGCCCCAGTGGCTGCTCTCGCACGCGGTTCCCCCCTGCCCAGGGCAGCGCTTCGTGGCCTTATGAGGAGCTCCTCCGAAGTCCCCAGTGGCTGTGCTCTCGCATGCGGTTCCCCCCATCAGCGCTTTGGCCCCCGGGAGCTCCACCGAAGGCCCCAGTGGCGCAGCATGCGGTCCCCCGACACAGGGCAGCGTTCGTGGCCCCAGAGGGAGCTCCACCGAAGGCCCCAGTGGCGCAGTTCGCATGCGGCCCGCTTCGTGGCCCCATACGGAGCTCCACCAAAGGCCCCACTGGCGCAATTCGCATGCGGTTCCCACACCCAGGGCAGCGTTTCGTGGCCTCATGGGGAGCTCCACCGAAGGCCCCCGTGGCGCAGTTCGCATGCGGCCCCCCTGCCCAGGGCAGCGCTTCGTGGCCCCATAGGGGGGCTCCACCGAACGCCCCAATGGCTGCTCCCGCATGCGGTTCCCCCACCCAGGGCAGCGCTTCGTAGCCCCATATAGGGAGCTCCATCGAAGGCCCCAATGGCTGCTCTCGCATGCGGTTCCCCCACCCAGGGCAACGTTTCATGGCCCAATAGGAACGCCCACCGAGGGCCCAGTGGCTGCTTTCGCATGCGGTTCCCCCACCCAGGGCAACGTTTCGTGGCCCCATACGGAGCTCCACCGAAGGCCCCAGTGGCTGCTCTCGCACGCGGTTCCCCCGCCCAGGGCAGCGCTCCGTGGCCTTATGAGGAGCTCCTCCGAAGTCCCCAGTGGCTGCTCTCGCATGCGGTTCCCCCCACCCAGGGCAGCGCTTCGTGGCCCCATCGGGAGCTCCACCGAAGGCCCCAGTGGCTGTTCTCGCATGCGGTCCCCCGACACAGGGCAGCGTTTCGTGGCCCCACAGGGAGCTCCACCGAAGGCCCCAGTGGCGCAGTTCGCATGCGCTTCCCCCGCCCAGGGCAGCGCTTCGTGGCCCCTTAGGGAGCTCCACCGAAGGCCCCAGTGGCGCAGTTCGCATGCGGTTCCCGTACCCAGGGCAGCGTTTCGTGGCCCCATACGGAGCTCCACCGAAGGCCCCACTGGCGCAATTCGCATGCGGTTCCCACACCCAGGGCAGCGTTTCGTGGCCTCATGGGGAGCTCCGCCGAAGGCCCCCGTGGCGCAGTTCGCATGCGGCCCCCCTGCCCAGGGCAGCGCTTCGTGGCCCCATAGGGGGCTCCACCGAACGCCCCAGTGGCTGCTCCCGCATGCGGTTCCCCCACCCAGGGCAGCGCTTCGTGGCCCCACAGGGAGCTCCACCGAAGCCCCCAGTGGCGCAGTTCGCATGCGGTTCCCCCGCCCAGGGCAGCGCTTCGTGGCCCCATAGGGAGCTCCACCGAAAGCGGCACCCACAACGCGTTACAAACAATTTCTTATAGTTGGGTCCTTCGCCAGGATAACTTCCGTATCCCTTCCATATTCGTTTTCTTCGTCTGGCCATCAGACACTTGGGTAGGGAGGGCCGGGCGTTTCGCTTGAAGCCCCCCACGATTTTCTATCATGTGGCTTGGTCTTCCCACCGCGGATGGACGGGGGGCGTTTCAGCGCCGTGAACGTTCGTTTTCTCAAAAGTTTGCAACGGTTGCAGGAAAGGAGGGGGGGTGTTTTCAAAATGGGGTTCTCGTCCGAGCGCGGCGCACACATTCGTCTTAATAGCTTGCACCTGGGTTGTAAGCCTGGAGGTGGGTCGTTTTCGAAGCGGAGCCTTCACCTCAGCGCCGCGCAGATTCGCTGGAACAGTTTGCAATGGGTACAGAGATGGAGGAGGGGTGCCGTGTTCAACGTGGAGCTTTCGCTTGAGCGCTGCGAGCATTCGTCGCAAAAAGGTTGCAACAGGTACAGGGGTGAAAAGTGGGGGCGTTCTCAAAATGGAGCTCGCCTGAGCGCGGCGCACAGTCGTGTAAGACGTTTGCAACAGTCACGAGGATGGAGGGCGGACCCTAGTCGACCTTGGGCTTGCACTTCGGCGCAACGCGAATTCATGTTTACACGCAGGGGTGAAAGACGACCCTTTCTGAGAATAAGCCTCTCGCTTGTGATACCTCACGGTTGACTGACCGGCTCCCTGAACATAGATATCAGCTTCACGGATCGAGGGCGGTTCTTTTTCAAAGAGCGATTCTCGCACTTGAGGCATCTTCCCCGGAGGATGCGACCAGACTTGTGACTCTGTGAAGCAGCAGTTGCAAACACGGGCGGGGCGGGGGGTCGTTTCTCGCCATACCTCGTTGAGACGTCTCCAAGGAAGGAAAAACCACCCGGACGGACCGGACAATCGGCGTTTACTACACGGCCACGGGCGCTTACTGAACTAAACAGCCCTGCCCGGTTTGATTCCTTCTTTGGGTGCCTTTACTACACGGCTGCGCGTGCCGGGGTGGTTATTAGCGAGGTGGATGTTCTGCGTGTCGGGGCGATTCTTAGCGAGGTGGATGTTCTGCCCGCTAAGTATGGCCATACCTTGCCGCATTCCTTGACTCCTCGCGCGAGGGACGCCAGGCAGTGGCCCGCCGCGCCTGTACGGCAGGCCCACAGGGTGCTGTTTTTTTTTTTCAAAAGGGGGCGCTACTGGCAGCGAGCAGGAGGGGCTCACAGGGACGTATATCGGCGTCACACCAACCTACTCACTCAAGATTTCGTAATAAAAGGGAGGGGGTCTGGACCCTCCAAGACAAGCCATTTCAGACCTCCCCCGTGGGAGAACCCTCCAAAACATCGTCCCCAGACCCCCCAGGCCCTCCAAGATAGCCTGGAAGAGACCCCCCCCCGAAATGAGACCCCCCTCCCTTTATTACGAAATCTGGAGTATACTATATGTGCGTCGCCCCCCAGGGGCGACGCGCGCACCGAGAAAATCTGATAGTATGTGTGTCGCGGCGGGCGCTTTCCGGCCACACCGCTCGGGAAATGATATACTACAAGATGGGTATACTATATGCTTGGGTCGGACGCGCGCCTCCAAGAAGAACATATAGTACTTGTATGTCTCTGTGCGTCCCAGTATAAGGAAGGGACTTGGAATTGGAGAGTGTCTTGCAGCGTGATGCACCTTGGGTTCATTGTTGTCCCCATCGTCCTCGCAGTGCTCCCTCTTGCCTTTCTCCGCCGCCACCCCCTCGTGTTCCTGTTTGGCTTCCGGCCTCGCCAACTCCTCATCGTCTTAGGGCGCAGCTCCTGGGAGGCTGAATTCGGCCTCGGCGCTGGCATTCCCATGCCCCAAGACTGACCATCTAGCAGAAGCCCGGCTAATTCTGCCCAGTCCCGCTGAATTCGGGGGTGGACAGACCTCCTACCCTGACACGTCGATTCAGGAATTGGCCGTTTTCGGTTCGCGAGATGGCGTCGCGGCCGTCATTTTCGCGGGTCCAGGTCCGTCGGGTTCGGCCCTAGGCCGTTTTCACTCAGGGGAGGTTTCCTAAAGGGAGGTTTGTCCACCGCCGAACATGCAGCCACTTAGAAATAAAGGAAGCCCTGGGATACACCCCAAGGTGGCTTTTCGGACGCACCCTCATCAAGGATGGAGTCCCCCCCGATCGTATTTCCCAGGGCTAAAATGCCGTTCAATATGTGTGTTTCCCCGGCCGATCTGGCCGGAAACAGTCCCCCGGCCGTTTTTGTCGGGTGCTGCTAGAATTGCGCCCGAGGCCCAAGGTGCCCCCAGGATTGCCAAGGAGGCCCCCACGGCCTGCAAAGCACACCCCTCGCGAGACCCAGAGGGCCCCAGGGGCTCCAGCATGGAGCGGAAGACTGGGAGCACCTTGGGCCAGGGGCACCTTCTCACCAGCCTGGAGCAAATCCCTACCCCTATGCTGGGCATCTCCTCATCACGATGCCAATACTTAGGGATTCCCTTACGTTTTGAGGGCGAGTCCCTAAGATTGTCATCGCCTTCTGGCGTGTCAATCTTAGGGATAGGGATAAGGTCGAGGCGGGTAACCTTACGCAACCCCCGACCTGTCCTCTCTTCGTGCCCTGCCGACCCGAGACCGGGCCCAGTGCCAAGAGCAGCTATTTCTATCGGGTGGTGGAAATCGGACGGGCCTAGGACGAGGATAAGCCCTTTCCAGAGCGTTCCGTAGCGCGCAGAGCGTTCTGGAACGCTCTGAGAATGCCGTGACGCCCGAGCCGAATTTATCTTCGCCCTGGTTCCGTACCAAATCTGGCCCCGAGCGGCACGCGCCCAGAGCAGTTGCGCGGGCCATTGGACGCACAGCCCCAGTGCGTCGATCTGATGGCGGTGTCGATCTCGGCAGACTCGAGGTTTTTCCCGCATCCCCTCGTTGCGAACAGATAGCGATAGGAGGTTCTGAGCAAGTTGCAGCCTCCAGGGAGCCCTCGCCACGCCCCGGGAGTGCCGCCACGACATCGGAGTCCTGGGTCCCGGCTCTGTCCTCGGGGCTGGCTGTTCATCCCGAACCGTCTGCTCACGGCCCCGGGACCTGGTGAGGCTCCCCAGAGGCCGACCACGGCGAACCACATAATTACCGCTGACCGATGCTGCTCCACACTTGGGACGTCTCGGGGCGTGCCTCCTCCTCCCCCCGGCCCTCAGGTCAGCCACGCGCACACGACGCTGCTGCACGTGGGCCTGCGCCGCATGTACGACCTGCACCTGCGCAGGATGGAGGGCATCGAGAACTGCCGGCGGCTCGAGGACGGGGCGCGGCATGCGGGCGCAGTCGGGCGGGCCCCGCCCAGCCTTCGGCAGGGGTGTTCACAGCCCGCGGCCTCCCCGGCGATTCGCACCACCTCAAAGCTCCAGCAGGTCTTGTGGGCCTCGTGAGGGGTGCTCTGCAGGCCGCGGGGGCCTCCCTGGGAGTCGCGGGGACATCTTGGCGACCTCCCGCCCCTCCGTGCATACCTTGGCTTGGTGATCCCCGCCGCCCCTCGCCTGCGCAGGGGGGAGGGCCTGGGCGGGCATGAGTGGGGCCTCGCAGGGGCCACGCATCGCCAGGGGGGGGGGTGGACCGAGCCCAGAGTGGAACAGGAGGCCCGGGCTGAAAGTAACAGAGCTCCCTCTGGGAAAACGCACGAACTCTGGAGAAGCACCTCCTCCTCCTCTTCCTCCTCCTCCTCCTCTTCCTCCAATAGTTCAACGCGGAGATCCCCACATGTGCATCTTTAGCTCCTGGCACTTCCGTCTGCGAGCGTCTGCGCGGGAGGATCAGAGCCTGCGGCGACGGAGCGCCAGGTGGCGGCTTCCACACGGGGTGCTAAAACCGAGCGCGTCGCCGAAGACTTCCTCACCGTCGGCTCCCAAGGCCGAGGAGTGGGTGATAGGGGGACACATGCGAACCCTACCACTACCCCCTACGATTTCTGAGGGGGAGGGTGGGGTTTCGGGAGCTCCCAAACGAAGTGAACCCCACCCTCCCCCTCAGAAATCGTGGGGGGTAGGGGTAGGGTTCGGTTCGCATGTGGCCCCCAAAGTGAGGCCAACCGGGCGCCTGTTGCTCGGGACATCGCCACGACCTGGCCGCGAGCGTGCGAGTGTCACACTCCCTGGCGCCCCCACCCACCCACCCACCCAGGAGTGCGCTAGCAAGCGCCTCGTTCGAGACGTTCCCACGACCTGGAAGCGAGCAAGCATGTGTCCGTCTTCCTGTCGGCCCATCCTTGCGGTGCAAGCCCACCATGCCAGCTAGATTGTGGCGGTCATGAGGCCATCAAAGGAGATGGGTTGGAGGCGCCGATGCATGTAAACCGCTTGAGACATCCCAGCAATCCGGGCGCGAACGGCGCTAGCGGCTCCTCCTTTGGGTGCCCAAGGGGGCTACGCCTGGTATTAGGCGTCATCAAAGATCAAACGACAAGTCCGAGCGACCAAACAGGCAAGCCGCCTGATACATCATCAAAGTCTGGCCGCGAACGGGGTCTGGCAGTTACTCCATGGGAGTACCCAAGCGCCGTGCTTGCTACATCGCGGTGGTCACTAAGCTCTCAAAAAGGTATTTGTCGATATTGCCCCCTCCCCCTGTCTCTTTCCTCCCCCCTCCTGCTCCCCTCTCGTTTCCTGCGTCAGTCGTGAGACGCTCCATGTTTTCTGCTTCACAGTCGAGCCTCTGTGTTCACGCAATCCATCTGCAAGATCTCCCTTGCATTGTCACGAAGAGCTGCCAATTGTGCACTCTTCGGCCCACGCGTCCTTCTGGATGCTCGGCTCAGCCATGCCATGCCATGCCACACGAACATCGCCTCTGGCATTCCCGCAATCTGGCCGCGAATGGTGTAATGCAACCACTCGTCACTCGTGGCGGTTTCCCTTGGGGTGTCGAAGTGCCACGCTTGCTGTGTCACGGTGGCCACTTGTCTCCCACAAGCGAAATGCCTAAGCCACCAGACATGAAAACCGCCTCCGACATCGCCAGACTTCGGCAGCGAACCAAGAACACAACAACCACCCCTAGCGGCTCTTCCTCGGAGTGCCCGAATGCCACGCCTGCTATATCGAGGTGATCCTGGGGCTCTCAGAAGGAAGCGAGAGAGAGAGAGAGAGAGATGCGCGGCTCCGAAACAGGTACACTGGTTGAGACATCCCCACACTCTGGCTGGGAACGGGCGTCCCACTTCTGATACATGCTGCATAGCGGTGGATCCGACTCGTTGATTCGGAGTGCTTGTGAGTCTGAGTGCCAGTGGCAGAACGTGTCAGTGGGCTTGATGCGTTTGAAACACAACGGGGACTTGGTGAGATTGAGTCCGAGTGTCAGTGGGCCCGAGGTTCAGCGAGTCTAAGTGTGAGTGCATATGATTGTGAGTGAGCCTGAGTGCGATAAGTGGATGCGGGGAGGCCCTCTTGGGGCTTCCTGGGGGCTTCCTGAGACCCTCTCGGGAACCTCTGAGGGTCTCCAGGGGGCCTTCTGGAGCCGCTTAGGGGCGTCGTTGGGGCTTCTCAGGGGGCCTCCTCTGGTCCCCTGGCCCTCCTCCAATTCAATCCACCATTACTTCCTGGGGTTTGGGCCCCGCCGCCGCGTACCCGCCGGACGGTGCAGCGCGTCACGTTCGCATGTCATATGTGTAACAAAATGAAAAGTACAGCTGCCCCACCCGCTAGAACTATTGCGTTGGCGTGCAGTTCAGCGCCGACTCTGCTATGGCGTTGGTTGCCTCTCGTCTCGCCGCATCCCCGTTGGACCGAGGCATCAGACCCATGCACCCGCGGCGAGTCGAGCGCCCCCTTTGCCCCCTTTGACGTTCTCGGCTTGCCCCCGAACTTCTGGGGGTCCTCCTCTGGTTCCTCCTCCTCCTCATCATCATCATCATTCTCGTTGTCATCGTCGTCATCGCCAGTATCATCATCATCATCAGCAGCAGCAGCATCATCATCATCATCATCGTCGTCCTCATCGCCACCCTCATCACCATCATCACCATCACCATCATCATCATCATCATCACCATCATCATCATCATCATCATCATCATCATCATCATCGTCATCGTCATCAGCATCATCATCATCATCGCCATCATCGCAATCATCAGCATCGTCATCATCATCATCATCATCATCATCATCATCATCATCATCATCATCATTTCATCTGAGTCAGCATCAGCATCAGCACGGTCATCATCACCATAATCAGTTTCATCATCGGCAGCAGCATCATCATCGCCTTCATCAGTTGCAGCATTACCACCAGCATCATCATCGTCGTCAACCGCCATCATCGTCAGCATCGTCGTCGTCGTCATCATCACCATCGTCATCGTCATCGTCGTCATTGCCATCGTCATCGTCATCGTCATCGTCGTCACCATCATCATCATTATTATCATCATCATCATCATCATCATCATCATCATCATCATCATCATCATCATCATCATCATCATCATCATCATCATCATCATCATCATCGTCGTCATCATCCCCCCCCTTCCCCCCCCCACGCTGGCGCGAGCGACCGCGCCAGGAGCAGCGGCGGGGCCAGGGCATCGCCGCGCGCCTCCGCGGCCGCGGCCGCGGCGCCCTGGGCGCGCTGGCGCTGGGCGCAGGCTGTTTCGTCGGCGTTCGGGGGCGCGGGCGCCGCCGCCGCCCAGCCCCAGGCGGAGGAGCGAGGAGGAGGAGGAGGAGGAGGAGGAGGGAGGGGGGAGGAACCAGGAGGAGGAGGAGGGAGGAGGAGGAGGAGGAGGAGGAAATAAAGGAGGAGGAGGAGGAGGAGGAGGAGGAGGAGGAGGAGGAGGAGGAGGAGGAGGAGGAGAGTTGGCTGCGTCGGCGGCGCCGTCGTCGTCCTCGAGCGCTTGGCGTCGGCGTCGGCGCCGTCGTCGTCTTCCCTCGTCCTCGTCTCAGAGCGTGAGTTACCTGCGCCGCTTTCGCTTCCAGGCAAAGCCAAGTCATACCGCGCGCCTCCTCGTCAAGCGGCATCTGACCAGTACAGCCCGTGGTTTGGCATCGTTTGGTATCTCTTGGAAGCGAGGGTGGTCCAAAGCGAGGTAGGTTTGTTTTCCCCATATTGTCGCCGTCTTTGTCATCGTCGGCGGCGCGCTCGTCGGCGCAGTCGCCGTCGTCCTCGTCGCAGTCGTGGCGAGGAGGGGGGGGCGGAGCAGGATGAGGGGGGGGGGCTCAGGCCGGAGGGGTAGGAGTAGGGGGATGTGGGTTTCGGAGGGGATGGAAAAGGGAGAAGAGACGGTGCAAGACTGGTGCGCCCGCGCCACATCTGACAATCTTTCCATTCCTCCCATCTCTTCCAATGTTGCAGTTTTGTCTCTATCCGCGGTGTCGTGGCTACCGATCGTTCTATGCGAAGTCGGAAAGAAGGCAGCTGGCATTGCGGGCCCTTCTCGCTCAGGTGGGCATTCGCATGTACCTGCTGACATGTGTTTTTTGCCACTGGTGGCGTCTTTCACGCTCTGGTTCTGGCAGGGGATGCGCCCCGCTTCTGCCGTCGCTTCTCGCACGCTCTGCCTCTGCCACTGCCTGCCACTGCCTGCCACCGCCTGCCACCGCTGCCTCTGTCTGCCACCGCCGCCGCTGCCGTTCCTTTTCTCATGTGCCACTGCAGGTCTGTAGCTAGTGATGTGGCGGCAGCCTGCTGGCAGCCGCCTGGCTCTTCCTTATCTCAAGCCTCTTGAGCGCATTCCTCTTTGTTCTCAGCTTCTTGGCTCCACTCGTCTTTAGGCCCAGGCTTCCACTGCTCTCCGTCTTCGCACCACGAAGTGTATGCGATGATGTCAGGCCCGCACTCGGGACTTGAGCACCTGCTGCTGTGGCCATGGTGCGGCTGTTTCTTAGGGAACTTTGCACTGCGATGCCCCCCCCTCCCTCCCTCCATCCCCTCTCCACCCTCCGTTCCCTACCCGACTACGGACTCTGGAGCATCGGGCAAGGAGCTCGCGCTACGGAACAAACAACCCTCGACACTCCGCCCCCGCCTCCGCCTCCGCCGCCTCCATCTCCACCTCCGCACCCCCCTCCTCCTCCTCCTCCTCCTCCTCCTCCTCCTCCTCCTCCTCCTCCTCCTCCACCTCCGCCTCCCTCTGTGTTTCTTCCTCCTCCTCCTCCTCCTCCTCCTCCCCCTCCTTATCCTCCTCCTCCTCCTCCTTATCCTCGTCCTGCTCCTCCTCTTCCTCCTCCTCGCCCTCCTTCTCCTCCTCCTCCTCCGCCTCCCCCTCCTCCTCCTCCTCCTCCTCCTCCTCCTCCTCCTCTTCCTCCTCCTCCTCCTCCTCCTCCTCCTCCTCCGTCTCCTGCTCCTCCTTCTCCGAAGGTCGCACCTGCTGCGGACGCGGACGGCAGGGCGTAGTATAGAGAGGCTTGTGTGTGACGGCAAGTCCGAGGAGTTGCTGGATTCGGCTCAGGAGCTGGAGCTGGACGCCCAGGTTCAAGCACGACCAGGACGATCTCTGGATCACCTGGCTGGCGGCGGCGATGCGCCTCTCGGAGCAGCCCGATGAAGACATCCCGACCCTATGCGAGAGGGCGGAGATATTCCAGGCTCGCGTCATTGGTGCCGGCCTGGCCAAGTCGAGGAGGTCTTTCCAGCAGTCGGCCACCAAGATGTGGAAGCATGCCTTGGATGTTTTCCACCGTCATGTCAAGCAGCAGGGCGACGCGATGCAGATCCTGAAGGACGAGCATGTCTACAGAACCACCGCATTCGCAGATCCCACGGTGATCATGGTTCGGCGAGCTGATGAGTGGGAGAAGGTCTGGAGCGACCCCACGCTGACCGTGAACCAGCTGCTGAACGGCGTGGAGATCGTCCGTCGCGTCGCGAAGGAGGAGGCGCTTGAGCCTATCACGCTGGAGCAGCTGGATTACCTCCTGCCGCCCCTCAGTGCCAGGAAGTCGAAGGGCGTCGACGTCCTGGGCCCGCTCGAGGTCCAGCGGCTCCCAGAGGAGGGCCGCGCCGAGATGGTGGAGCTCCTTAACTCGATCGAGGAGAACGGCTGCTGGCTTAGACAGGTCTTCGGCACGCTCGGTGCAGTGGACCCCGAGGCCAAAGGAGGGGACCGCATCCTTGGCCAGCTCCCCTTCGTCATGAAGACCTGGAGCAAGCTCCGCGGCACTGTGACGTTTCAGTGGAGCGAGGAGCTAGGCGAGTTCTGGGACACGGCGATTGCGGGATCCTCGGCACTGCAGGCGTCGATATTGCGATCATGTTTTAAGACGAGACGGCAAGGGCACTCGGAGTGTCTTGTGCGACGCTGCTGCTAGATCTGGTAAAGTTCTACGACAGCATCAGCATCCCCACCCTCGTCCGCCATGCGCTGGGCCAGAAGTTCCCCGCGAGTGTGCTACGCATGGAACTACAGGTGTTTTTGGCTCCCCGTTTCCTGAAGGAGCGGGAATGGCTGAGCAGAGAGATCAGCCCGTGGCGCTCCCTCGTGGCGGGGTCGCCGCCCGAGGTGCAGATGGCCAAAGCGTTCCTGGGCCCCCTCCTCCACCGCGCGCAGCTGAACTACCAGGCTCGCATCGGCCTCTGGACGTACGTGGACGACACGGTCCTGCGGTCCCGGGGCCCGGACCCCGTGGTGACGCAGACGGCGGTGGAGAGCGCGACCGCGCTGGGCCACAGCATGCAGGAGGAGGGCCTCGTCAGCTCGGGGAGGACGACTGTAGTGGCCAGCACCACCCGCCTGGCTGAGGACATCGCCAGGGGCCTCAGGAAGAACGGCATCCCCGCCACAGCGAAGGTCTCGTGCACGGACCTAGGCGTGGACTGCAACGCCGCCCGCTCCCGCAACAGGGCGCGCGGGAAGCAGAGGATGAAGAGTGCTGCTCGCCGCGCGGGCGTCATCCGACGCCTGCGGCGCCACGCCCACCTCCACCTCAAGAAGGTGGCGCGCGGGCTCTGGGGCGCTGGCGCCAGGCGCACGGCTTGCCGCACTACGAGGTGCTCAAGCTGAGGAGGCAGGCCGCGCGGGCAGCGGCAGGCAGCGGCCCGGGGCGATTCCCCACCACGACGCTCGCCGTCGCCTACGGCCGCGGCGACCCCGCGAAAACGATCCCGCGGGAGCAGCTGGCCGCCTGGCTGGACCTCTGGTTCGGGCACCCAGAGCTCCACCCGAGGATCGTGAGGGCATGGGCGAAGATAGCCCCTCGCCTCCAGGAGGCAGAAGCCAAGAGATGGCGGATGGTGCGAGGGCCCCTGGCGGCCACGGTGGCGACCCTCCTTGATGCAGGATGAAGGAACCCCTCGACCCGACCTGTGGATCACGGCCCAAGGCGTGGAGTGGAGATTCCCACCGGCGGTGTGTCCCTTATCCCGATTCCCAGCCCGGTATAGCTCCTCTCGTCGGTCGGCGAGCGCTAGGGTGCTAGGGGGTAAAATGTTGAACAGCTCGCGCAACTTGTCACACTGGGGGCAAGATAACCTCACCTTTTGTTCCAGGTGTGGTCGTACAGCAACGACGGACCCCCGACACCTGATTTCGGTTTGCGAACAGCCAGGGGGGAAACTGAATATTGCACGTATCCTGAAGGGTGAATACCCCCATCCGAGCGGGCCGCCGAAGTCGGTCCGAGCTGCAGCCATCGTCGATCTGCAGCGCGAATTCCAGTCCTCACGACCTGCGGCGTCGTCAACCCCATACACGCCGGTCGTTGAAAGTAGGTATTTTTGGATTCCCAGATCCCAATCTACTTCAAGCGCCTTCCTACTTCAAGAATCGGCACGCGTTTGCTGCGTTTTGTTATTCCCTGGGGGGGCCTGGACCCAATCTACTTGATCCGCCTTCCTACTTCATATTTCTAGCTACTTCTTCCGACCGACGTGTAATTCCCATCGTTCCTCTTCCTCCTCCTCCTCCTCCTCCTCCTCCAGCTTCCCTGCCCGCGCGGGCACTCTGGCCCGAGCCCCGCCAGCGGCCTCCATGGCTGCGCCCGGCGCCAATGGGCGGCGGCGCCCCGCCCCGTGGGCCCCGATGGCGGTGGCGCCGCGGGCCCTGCGCTCCGCCGCCTGCGCGCCGCGACCTGCCCGGCGGCGCTCGGGAGGGAAGAAGAGCTGATGGGCTTGTTTTCCACCACCACCACCATAAGTTGGAGGGGGAGGGGGTCCTCCTCCTCCTTCTTTTCCTCGTCCTCCTCCTCGTCTTCCACCTCCTTCCCCCCTCCAACTTATGGCGGTGGTGGTGGAAAACAGGCCCATCAAGAGCATCTCCCATGTGAGGACAGGTGCACATATCGGGCTGGACGAAAGGGGGGGAATTGGGAAAGGGGGGGTTACGAAATCTGCGGCATGCAGCTGGTTTCGGCCCCACCGAGGGGCACATTCCTCGATGCATGGCCGCCTCTGGCGCCCGGAGGCGCCGGGGGAAAATCAGCTACGCGAGCTGATTCTCAAACCCCCCCTTTGCTATCCCCCCCTTTCGCCCAGCCCGAACATACAGCTACTTCTCGCCCCGTTTTAGCATTTTTGGGTCTCCTTGGAGGCCCTCGTTGCCACCGCTGGATTCGGCTCGAACGCCTGGTCGGAACGCACCCCGGGCGAGATAGTTCCGGGGAGTATCGGTATCGGTATTCTTTGGTTTCCCCAAGAGAATCTCTGATAAGCCACACTGGTCTGGGCCTGCCAGATGTCGAGGAAAAGACCGGCATAAACATAAACTGGTGTCGCTCCTTTCAGTTTTCTTGTATCCACGCTGGGCCCTCCCTGGCGGCGCCTCCGGCGCGGCCCCGGGCGCGCTCATCGCGCCAGTGGGGGGGGTCCAGCGCGGGTCCCAGAAATCCGCGCGGACCTCCACAAGTTATTTGGTCCCTCTAAAAAAGCATTTTCGATCAGCCGCACTGGCCTGGACCTGCCATATGGGGTCTGGGCAACTGGGGTCAGAGGATCGCGCGCCATCGCCGATGCATCGCCGATTCGGCTCGATGTGCAACCCGATTTTGTCCACGCCGACGGCGCCGAACCTATCCGACGTCGCCGATGCATCCGCGATGCGGTGCGATCCTCCGATCCCATCTACTGTCGGGGGCGGAACAAAGGGGGGTGATGGGGTGATGACTAGAGGGGGTGGATATCATGGCGGGGGCCATGATATTTCCCCAGGTTTCATGGCGCCTCTTCTGATGTCATTACGTCCCTGGCCCCCCCGCTGGGCCGCGCACATGCCGCCGGTCATGATTTGCACCCCCCCTCTTGGACATCCCCCTTTTGGCCGCTCCCGATATTGCGCAGGGAAAAAACACAGACACAATTAATCGTCGATTCCCCGGAAAATATGGGAAAATATGGGAAGCGGGGGGAAGACAAACAACCAGAAAATATAGGAAAATATGGGAACATTTTTATTTGTGTGTAATTTTTTGTGTGTCCCAGGGCCCCTTCAATCTACTGCGTAGGAGAGACCTTCCGCCGGAGTGACCTTGGGTGCGGGCGCATCGGGGTCCCACCCGCACTGGCCAACGCGACTGGATTGCTTGGGCTCGGCCTCGTCCGCGGCCCCCCAAGCCCCCTACAGCCCCCCAATTACTCGTCGACTTCCAGGAAAGTATGCAAAAATATGGGAAGTGGGGCGGAAGACAGAAACCCAGAAAGTATGGGAAAATATGGGGAATCTGTTTATGTGTGTGTATTTATTTGTGTGCCCTGGGGCCCCTTCAGATCAATGGAGAGGAACCATGTCGCCAAATGATTTCCAGATGTCTGAATCAGGTTTCAAACATGTTTTGACTCTGTAATACATGTTTGCAGCGTTTTTAGAACATGTCTTACACAGCTTAACTTTGTAATTCAATGATCGGATGGATAGAGTGTCCATTGTCGTGGCAATCACAACCCAAGACCCAATGGTCAGTCGTGCCGTGGGTCACTCTTGGCGTGCAGCCGATAAGCCGCGTGGGAGCTCGTCGGCGTGCTCCTCCCGCGCTCCTGCCCGAAATCTTTTGGCTTTTCTCCAGCAGCAAGACCCAGATCTTCAGCATATGGAACAACAGCAGGACGAACGTTTCTCGCGCTGCTGCCCTGGGCCACCGGACCGTCAAAAACGACTGAGGAGGAGAAGCCAGCCTCCGAGAGTGGGTAGAGATTTCCGGGGACGCTGTACTGGAAAGAGCCTGCGGAAGAGGCCGCCTGCGAACCCTGCCCCACCACCCCACGATCTCTGAGGGGGGAAGCGGAGTGCACTTCGCTCGGGACCTCCCGAGCGAAGCGAGCCCCACCTGCGCCCGGAACATCCGTCGCTCCCTCGACAGCGACACGCGGATGGGCCCCACGGCGGCGTCTCCTGGATCCTGCTGCTTACCAGCCTGGAACATATCCCTATCCCTATGCTGGGCACCTCCTCATCCCGATGCCAATCTTAGGGATCCCCTTATGTTTTGATGGCGCATACCTGAGACTGTCGTCGCCTTGTGGCGTGTCAACCTTAGGGATAGGGATACGTTCGAGGCTTGGGACCTCCCGACCGAAACGGGCCCCACCTTCGCCCAGAACATCCATCGCTCCCTCGACAGCGACACGGATCCTGCCGCTGTTCCTCCTCCCCCTCCCCTCCTCCTCCTCCTCCTCCTCCTCCTCCTCCTCCTCCTCCTCCTCCTCCTCCTCCTCCTCCTCCTCCTCCTCCTCCTCCTCCTCCTCCTCCTCCCCACGGCGGCGTCTCCTGGATCCTGCCGCTGCTTCCCCAGGTACGTGGCGCCCGCGGCGGGGGCCCCTGCCCAGGGCGCGGGCAGGGGCCAGGGCTCCCGGAGAGAGGCCGGCGGCGTCGCGCCGCGCGGGCCCGACGGCAGGGGGACGTCCGCGCGCAGGGCGTCGGGGCCGCGGCTCTCCGGGGCCAGGTGAAGATCGACAGCCTCTCCTCCTCCTCCTCCTCCTCCTCCTCCTCCTCCTCCTCCTCCTTTCCTCCTCCTCCTCCTCCTCCTGCTCCTCCTCCTCCTCCTCCTCCTCCTCCTCCTCCTCCTCCTCCTCCTCCTCCTCCTCCTCCCCGTGCTCGAACGTTGCCCCCGGCGGCGGCCGAGGAGCGGCGGCCCCCGAGGTGTCTTCCTGCCTCCTCTCTCCTCTCCCTCGGCCGCCGCTGCCGCGCGCACCGTCCCTCCCCGGGGCCGCGGCTCTCAGGGGTAAGGTGAAAATTCGACAGCACGTACAGTCGGGGGCGGAAAAGAGGGGGGTGATGACTAGGGGGGGGGGGATTTCATAGCGCGGGCCATGTTTTTTCCCCCAGATTTCATGGCGCGGGCCATGATATTACCTCGGATTTCATGGCGCCTCTTCTTGTTTCAGTACGTCCCTGGCCCCCCCGCTGGGCCGCGCACGTGCCGCCGGTCATGATTTGCGCCCCCCCCCTCTTGGACACCCCCCTCTTGGCCGCTCCCGAGTACAGTGGAGGCGCTGAAGTAAGGAACACTCTGGGTTCGCAAGGGGCTCGATGTTCCTGAGGTGCCTCCAGTGCTGTTCCTGTTTGCCCTCCCGGGGCACGGTAGGGCCAAGAAGGGGCTTCGTTCCTTAGTGCGCGTTCCTTCTTTCAGCGGCCCGACTGAGAGTGACCCTTCGCCGGAGTGACCTGTGGTGCGGGCGCATCGGAGTCCCCCTTATCCTGGAGCGGGATGCGATAGCGGCTGACTGCGTGCTTGGATTCGGCCACTTTGCGCCCCCCGAGTGCGCACACCGAAGGTCACTCTTGCCTACAGTCGGGGCGCTGAAGAAGGAACCCTTTTCGTTGGGGAGGGGCGCGGTGTTCCTTGATTGTTTCAAAGTTTGCCTCGGGTTTTCCCTAGGTTTTCCATGGGAAATCGAGGTTGAACTTATGGGAAAAAGGTCAACGCCCCGACTGTAGGGTGAGTCACATCGGTCTGGACCCCCGGGCGCCTCGGCGCTTCGACGCTGTGGGTTTCCCTGCATCTCCGTTGGCTCTCCGCGGCGTTCCTGCCCCTGGGAGGCCCCTCCAGCCGCTGCGCCTCGCCGAGGGCGCTCTCTGCGGGGGCCCCGCTCGCCCGGAGCAGCCGACGGAGAGCCGAGCTGTGGCCCGAGAGCCGCTGGGCAAGGACAGGGCGGGACAGGCTGCAGGGGGGGAGATGCATCGACTCGACCCCCTATAGCGCCCTTTCATTGCTGACAGGAGCCTGATACCTGGCATCGCTCGGACGTGTGCGTTTTTCTTCGGCGAGGACCATCGAGAAGCATCCTTGACCATTTGCCGAAAAAACCACGCACGAAACTGAAAAAACACAGGGAATGGACTTCCGAGCGATGGCGAGGATATCCCATCCCGCCAGCGTGCGGCTTTGCCACTGGGGGGCCTCTCGCCGATCTGCTGGCCACGGGCCTCGCCGATTCCAGCTCCGTGCTCCCCTGTGAGCCACTTCCCCTCCCCGCGGCAGGCTCGTCTCGTGCCGACCCGGCGGCAGCCCCATCGCGAGCGCGTTCAAGGCGGAACGCCGGCGTCGGCCGGGAGTCTACCAGCATGGAACGAGCTGGTCACGGAAGAGGAGAGCCCCGAATCATCAGGGGTAACTCGGGTCAGGGCCAATTCGGGTTCGTTGTTCGGGATTCCGAACCCGAGTTGCCCCGGGCCCGAGTTACCCCGGATAATTTGGGCGTCCCGAGCCCCACATCATCAGGGGTAACTCGGGTCAGGGCTAACTCTGGTTCCTGTTTCGCGAATCCAAGCCCGAGTTACCCCGGACCCGAGTTACCCCGGATAATTCGGGCGCCCAAGAACAGGAGCCGCCGATCGCTCAGTCGGGGAAACGTAAGACTCGAGTGCGCCGGGACTCGGGTCAGCCGGCGTTTTTTGACGAGCGCGTCCTGGTCTTTGTCGGTCCAGTTTTCGGTTTTCGTGGGATGTCTGCAGCGGGCGCTCGCGTCGAATTTCGGACCGGGCCTCGTTATTTTCATGATGGGCCAACCCGAGTCTTCCGAACCCGAGTCTCACGTCTCCCCGATTCAGGGGCGAATAGCCCACGTGGTGTCAGAAACCAACGCCAGGGTCGTCACTACACGAACCTGCTGTAGTTAGGGGAGCACGAACGGTTCAGAGAGGGCAAGGCGCTGGTCGCAGCTGCCCGATGGGCCAAGGGAGAAAATCCTGAACCCTTTCGGGGGCCCCCGGGAGCCTTCTTCTGGGGGTGGCCCAGGCTGTCAGGTCCCTAAGATTTCCAGGTTGAAACATATCCCTATCCCTATGTTTGACACCACCTCACCTCGATGCCGATCTTAAGGATTCCCTCAGTTTCTGAGGGCCTATCCCTAAGATTGTCCTCGCTTTTTGCTCGCCCATCTTAGGGATAGGGATAATTTCGAGGCTGGTTATAAGAGGCTCGCCAGGAAGGGCACAGGTCCTGGAGGTTGCGGCCTCTCTCTGGCCTCCTGGTGTCCTGGATGGGCGCCCGCCCGACCTCGGGTGTGGCTAGGAGTGTCCCTAACCCGAGGTGCCCCCAGCTTGTCGCTCCAGTGTTCAGCCACGCGCAGAGGGGGGTGGGGGGAGGGGGGAGGGCTTCTTAGAAGCACCCCTGCTTCTTAGAAGGCGCAGGGCTTCTGATCGGAACTGGACATCTGGACGCTCTTGGTGCCTTCTCTCAGGCTCGAGGTGCCTTCGCGGGCTGCCTCGTCCTCGCGGTCCTCGAAGCGGGTGCCCGCCCTCTCCGCGAAGGAGTCGGTGCTGCGGGCGAGGTGCATGGCGCAGGCGATGCGGCGGAAGCCAGACGTGGACCTCGCCGTGGAGGCCTTCGGCACGGAGCTCGCAGGAGGAGGAGGAGGAGGCGGGGGCGGCGGAGGGGACGGATGTTTTTCATGATGTTCGGCCTCCCGAGGGCCTCTCGGGGCCTCGGCCGTCAAAAAAAAAGCTCGGGAGGAACAGCCAGCCCTGGAAGAGTGGTCGAGAGGTCGGGGGCCCACGTCTGGAACATATCGAGGCGCCATATGTCTGGGGCAGGCAGAGGTGAAGGCGGAGGAGGAGGCCACAGGGGGATGATGATGATGATGGTGGTGATGATGAGGAGGAGGAGGAGGAGGAGGAGGAGGAGGAGGAGGAGGAGAGGGAACAGGAGGAGGAGGACACAGAGGATAAAGGATAAGCAGGCATCTCGGGTCAACGATGCCGTTGCTCGTCCTCGTAACGGTTGGCTTCTCTTCGGACGTCTCGTTTCGAAGATTGAATCACGTCATATTTGAGCGACGAAGCCAAACGGTCATTCCCTGTCCCTGGATGCGTCGCTGAAGTGGGGTTCCGCGGTGCGGGTTGTTGTTGTTTGTTGATGTTGTTGTCGTCGTCCCACTCGCGATCTGGCCCGCGACCCGGCCCGCGACCCACCCGCGACCCTCTCGCGACCTGGCCCGCGACCCACCCGCGATACACCCGCAACCCATCCGCGATCCACCCCGCGCCCGTCCACTCACTCTTATCCGCACTTGCGGGGTGCTATATCCATGATTTTCTGTAGATCTGCGCGGATGTCTTGGATCGGCGTTGGGCCCCCTGGCTGCGCCTCCGGCGCCGTCCCTGGTGCCGCCCCTTGCGCCGCCCCTGGCGCCGCCCCTTGCGCCGTCCATGGCGCGCTTCGCGCGCAAGGCATGGGGCACGGCGCCGATCCGAGAAGCCCGCGCGGGCCTCAGAGGCATTATCCGTTCGCCCTTTTGCTCCGAGTCAGTGCTTGCACTGAGGGCCACCACCCACCAAACCACCCCAACCCAACCCGAAGGCTCAGATTTACCCTCGATTTCCAGTGGGGGGGGGGGTCGGGAAACATAGAGAAAACACATGTGGAACCCTCCCCCCCCCACCCGAAATTCGGGTCTTCGGGTTGGGTTGGGGTGGTCTGGTAGGTAGTCAGAGGGGTTTTTCCTTGTCTCATCGTCTGAGCAGTGCCTGCCCTCACGGGCTCTTTGCTTCTCTCGTGGGGAAGCGTCGGCCCGTGCGTCGGTCTGGCCGGCGTGGGGCCGGCCGTCGCCGCAGGGCGCCGCCGCCCGTGGCCGCACCGTTTCGGCTCCGACTCTGCTTTGTGCTACAGTCAAAATCCCTAATGCTCTTCCTTGCTCTTCCTTGCTCTTCCTTGCTTTTGCGTCCTGCTCTTCCTCCTCTGCTCTTCCTTGTTCTTCCCTGCTCTTGCTAGGGCACGCCCGAATAGGGACGCGCGACTTTGTTCAGGGTGCCCCTGCGTCCTTGCTCTTCCTTGCTCTTGCGTCCCTGGGGTTCTCGTCGCCCGCCGCCCCAGAAATCCCAACTTCGGCCTCCAAAGGTCTGGCGACCTTACTCCAGATTTCGTAAGAAAGGGAGGGGGGTCTCATTTCGGGGGGGGTCTCTTCCAGGCTATCTTGGAGGGCCTGGGGGGGTCTGGGGACGATGTTTTGGAGGGTTCTCCCACAGGGGGAGGTCTGAAATGGCTTGTCTTGGAGGGTCCAGGCCCCCTCCCTTTTATTACGAGATCTGGAGTACCGCGCGTCCTTCTTAGGGTTTTTGACTGCAGGCTTGCAGCCTGGACCGTGCGCCAGTCGGGCCAGCTCGTGGCCGCCCGACGCCGCCCGTGGCCTTCTCCGCCCGTCGTCGCACCACGTCCACGAGAGCTGGGCGAGGCTCGCGCCTCGCTCTGTCCTCCTCCTCCTCCTCCTCCTCCTCCTCCTCCTCCTCCTCCTCCTCCTCCTATTCCTCCTCATATTCCTCCTCCTCCTCCTCCTCCTCCTCCTCCTCCTCCTCCTCCTCCTCCTCCTCCTCCCCCTCCTCCTCCTCAGGTGGTTCAGCGAGCGCGGGCCTTTGTGGATCGGCCCGCTTTCCGCGAACCCCCAGACGCCGCTGGCCCTGCCAAGGGCGGCGGTGCACCATCCCGACGCTCGGGCGGCGCCATAGCCGCTCGCGATCGCCCGCGTGGCACCGCAGGCTGCGGAGGAAGCGGGCTAGCGCGCGGGCCACCTTGCGCCAGGCCGCTGCGCGCCAGACGCTGGCTGGGCACCACGGCGAGCACGTCGAGGCGCAGCCCGTGGCCATGCCGCCGCCTGCTGCAGCTGCTGGTGCCGCTGACGCTGCTGGCCGCAAGGTGCTCCTGGGGCCCAAGGAGCCCCACTGGCGCTGCCCGGGATGCCGCCAGGAGGGGCTCTGGGCCAACAGAGTGGTGTGCTTCTGCGGGCGCGACGCCCCTGGCCCCGTGGTGCGCAAGGCCAGGCAGACCCACCAGGAGGCCTTGGCCAAGCGCGGGTCGGCAGCGCCCAGGGCCCGTTCACAGCCCCGCCAGCCTGGCCCTCGGCAAGGGGGCGGCAGCGACGCGCCTCGGCTCCAGCGGCTCGAGGCGGGCGTGGCCAACATCACCGCGGCGCTGGAGAAACTCACGGCAGGCGGAAGCAGCTGCGCCGCTGGCCTACGCGGCGGACGCGGCGCCCCTGACACAGGCGCTGCTGCCCTTCCAGCCCCAGAGCCGCCAGTGGATCCAGCCATCCAGGAGCTCGAGGGCAAGATCGCCAGCCTGGAGCAGACCATCCCGACGTTGCGCAAAGGTGGCATCGACGTGGGGCAACTCGAGCAGGACCTGGCGAAACTCAAGCAGCAGCGGGTGGCAGCGCGAGGGCCGCAGGCGGAGGTCAGCTCGCTGGGCGCCAGCTTGACCACGCCAAGGCCAAGCGGGTGCAGCTGCAGAACGAGCTCACCGAGAAGCAGAAGGACGTCGCCGAGGCAGAGAAGCTCGTCGAGGAGGCGAAGAAGGCAGTGGCCGACCAGGAGGCGGCGATTGCTCAGGACACCGCGAACATCACCGAGCTGGAGGCCAGCCTCAACCAGGCCATGCTGCGGGCCATGCCGCTGGGCCAGCCAGGCCCACCACCCGAGGCCCAACGCGACGCCGAGCGTTTCTTGGCCATGGCACCTGAAGCAAAGAACCTGGGACCTGATGTACTGGTCATGGTCGCCAAGCTTCTCACCAAGCACCTCATGTGGACCGCCTCCCAGGGGAAGCCCCCAGACGGCCAGAAGGGTGATGGCGGTGAGAACATCCCGACGCCGATGGACGAGAGCCTTGGCGACACTGATGTTGCAGAAATCTGCAAAGCGTGCAAATGCGAGGACAGCAAGAGGGCTCTTGAGGACCTGTGCCAGCGCATGGGAATGCGCAAGCGGCAGCGGTTTTAGCACATACAGAAACGGAAGCAACGTCGACGAGGGGACGGACGGCGGCTCGCGTGGGGACGAGAAGCGACATGTTCACTTCAGTTTTGCGACGGCAGATATCACATCTTGGGGCGCAGGGCGCAGCATCCTCCCGCTCGTGTCCGACAGCATCCTTCTCGTGCAGGAGCACAAGCAATCACAGGGGCGACTCTTGGAGGTCAAACGCACGCTGATGCACGAAGGCTGGGCCATGGCTTGTGCTCCAGCCATCATTAAGGTGAAGGGCTTCCAGGGCGGCGTGGCCGTGCTGGCCAAGAGGTTCATCGACTTCTGGTATGACCCGCAGGGCCAAGTCCAGTGGCCAGGCAGAGCGTGTGTTGGGTACGCTCGACTGCCAGGGATGGGCGCGGTGGCGCTGTACTCGGTCTACCTCGAGGTCAACGTGGGGCTCAAGGGCCAGAACCTCGACATCCTCTACAAGTTGCGCGAGCACCAGGCGCGCCACGGCCTGCCATGGGTCATGGGAGGCGATATGAACATGGACCCCGCAGAGCTCGCCAGCTTTGCAGGCTTCCGTGCACCGGGCATCCAGGTGCACGCGCCGACGGACCCGACGTGCCACGGCAGCGGCGGGACCCACTACATCAGGGACTACTTCGTGACAGGAGGCCGCGCTGGCCTGGCCATGCAGGTGCCCGTCGCCAACACCTCGCTCGAGCTGCCCACCCACGACGTGGTCCACGTGAGCGTCAGCAAGCGCGCCGAGTGGCCCACAGTGAGGATGCCGCTCAGCACCGCGCACATGCCCACCACGGTGCCTGTGGGACCCCGTCGGGAGCCGCCCGACTGGACGGCGACGCAGCACGTGCTCGATGAGACCTACCAGCAGTTCGTGGGTCACGACGGACAGCAGGCGCAGACGTTTGCCGACCGCCAGGCGCAGGTGGACAGGGCCCACGAGGTGTGGCTCGGCACGGCGCGCCAGGACTTCCAGGGCATCGTGGACCGCGACGCCAGGGCCATGCAGCTCTGGGGGGGGGGGGGCATCCAGTTCAAAGAGGTAACCCTGCCCGAGATCTGGACCACTAAGGCCAACGGCAAGACCACGCCAGGTCGTGCGCTCACGTGGCAATCTGGGCAGCTGCGCCAAGTTCGAGGCCTCTTGAACATCTATCTTGATCGCCAGGCTCACCCGGGTGGCTTTGACCAGCGAGGCTGCCCAGGCCGACGCCTCAGAGGTGCCATCGCACTCTGCCGTGAAGGGATGCAGCGCTCAGGCAAGTTCGGCGCCGCGTACCGCACCCTTGGCGATTGCGACGACTGGTGCCAGATCGTGCAGGTCGTCTTGGACCGAGTCGGCGATGTTATCAGCGGGGCCGTGGCGAACCCCGAGACCGTCGTCGACCTTTCGGTGCTGCCCCTGCGCGACAAGGTCCTGCAGGGGTGGGCAAGTATTGCACGAGCTTGTCAGCAGCCGGATGGAGACGGGCCGCCTGCTGCCATGGGGCTCCCACCAGGGCCCTTGCCGCCGACGCAGGTCGACAGGTGGCACTCCCTGCGTGACGACATTCGGGCGTGGGCCGCTTTCTGGATCGACAACCTGGCAGGCGAGCAGTACTTGGATAAGAATGACTTCGTAACTTGGT